TCCTCCGCTCTTGCTATTCCACAAAAAGGATCAGGTAAAAGAATGTAAACACTGTTAGAATTCAGAACCATCCTTGAAGTGGCAACCTCAATAAATTGCAAGAAAAATCCTCATATAAAGTCCCTGACTTGCTTCAAGATCCTCTGAACTCTTTGAGTTTATTATTATTAGCAGAACATCCCATGTATCATCTTGTAGTCTAGCTGTCAATCATACCCTCTGTACTTTTACTGCTTCCATGAGTGGTAAAGACCAGACATAATAATTAGACTTTGCTTCATCTTTGTAAAGCCCCAAGAGATCTCTGTTTCTATTTTATCTTTCTCCCTCATTCACTCCATTGACCATGATTCGGTCCATTGATAGTTTTATTTAGTCAGTTTTTACCTGTCTATCAGCTATTTATTTTGTTTTGGTTTTCTCAGTCTCATTGCTTTTCCTCACATGCTAAAACTTTTTTTTACTCAACTCAATAATTAAACGTCTGTCGTCCCTAATAATTTTGAAGAAGTTCTTAGCTTAATGCATAAAATTAGTATGGATGCACTGATATTAAAATTCTAATAAAGAAAAGCCAATGATTATTTTTATGTTATATGGCTAAAAACTGATAAATGGCAGATGCTAGAAATATATATATATTTTTTTTTTCACAACATTATAATATGTAATATGAAAAATCAATATTAATTTTGAGGTTTTCTAAAGATTACATTAGATTTTTTATTAAATTATTAGTAATTTTAAAAGTGAGCATTAGATGAAATGTAAATATACTGTGCATCCCTAAAAACTGAATTAGAAATGTGATTTTTAATTCAATAAACATGTAGAAACCATTTTTTTGAAAATAATAAAAATATAATACTAAATAAAAGTTTAAAATGTATATTTAAAATGAATAATTTTAGCGGAACACAAAGTCAACTACAGCACTGAATATATAACAATGAATTCTTCAGAGATTCGCCACAAGCCTCCAAAAACTTCTTAAAGGGGTGATTCACTGGTTTTTTTCTAGGCTTGATTGTGTTTATGGGGTGCAGTCTAACATGTGTTAATGCTTCGTTTAAAAAAAAA